AAAGAGCCGTGGCTGGGGAAAGATGCGAGCAGAGGTCTGTTTTCAGGTGAGTGAGTTAGAAGCTGGTGGGGAAGTTTTTTAAAGTAACAACCCACCCAGTCAATGAGAAAGCAGTACTTTGTTATATGCTGGATGGAAAGTTTTCCTTTAAAGGTACCAGAGATACAGGGACTGTAAAGTCTTGCCCACAGCAAGGGGACCACTCACAGCCACTTACCTGTCTGCCTTCAGTTCTCATCCTTTCCTCACTTTCTCACAGATAGATGTGTCCCTTCTTTTCATTATTAGCTCTGTCTGGGCTCTGAATTTTATTTCTCTTTGGTTTCTCTTCCCTTTCTTTTTAAAAATTGACTTATATGTTTCCATTGTCTAAGTTAAAAGATGTATATTTTTTTCTTTATATTGCTGTTCTAACCCTCTTGAAAGAGTGATTCATTACACTTTGGTTAATTGATGGGCTTATTCCTTCAGTCATATGTTATTTTAACAATTTTTTAAAAAGATTTATTTATTTATTTTTGGTTGTGTTGGGTCTTAGTTTCGGCATGCGGGATCTTCGTTGAGGCATGTGGGACCTTTCGTTGCAGCGCGTGGGCTCTTCATTGTGGTGCGGGTTCCAGAGTGCGTGGGCTCTGTAGTTTGTGGCAGGTGGGCTCTAGTTGAGGCACGTGAGCTCAGTAGCTGTGGCGCACAGGCTTAGTTGCCCTGTGGCATGTGGGATCTTAGTTCCCTGACCAGGGATCGAACCTCACGTCCCCTGCATTGTAAGGCGGGTTCTTTACCACTGGATCACCAGGGAAGTCCCTATTTTAATGATATTTATTGACTTTCTCTTAGGTGGTATGCCTCAGAGAGTAGAAGTAGAGTAGAAGGCATGGCATAGTGAGATAAATTGGGTCTGTAAATAACTTTGTTAGAGGTCCTCAAGTTGGCAGTTCAACGATGAGAAGAAAGGAATTGCCAGTTGGTGTTATAGACCTGGGTAATTTGGATAGGGATAGTAGTAATAGAAATATGAAAGACAGGAAAAGGGTCAGTTTAAAACAAAACGTGGTGAATTAGTTTGAGATATGCATGGTGTGAGTAGAGGATGGTATTTCCAAGTGAAGAGGTGCAACAAACTATTGGAATATATCTTAGAAAAAAATTCCAGATAGGGATGTAGATGTGGGAATCTTATATTAAGAAAGGAAAACAGAAGCAATGAGGTTGATTGAGAAGGGCTCTGAAAGCCTTCTTCACCTTAGGTTGAAACAAAATTACTGGTGAAGCTCTTTAAAAATAAATACGGCCATGCACCACGCTTGAAGATTCTGACAGAAGATCTTTGGAGCCTAAATTATATGTGTTTATGACAATTTCCATAAGTTCTATAGTTGATTCTGAAGCAAACCTCTAATGGAAGTATACTGGCCTTTAGGGAATGGTCCTCTCGAGGTAACAGGGGAATACTTATGTTTATGGAGAAGCAGCTAATGGAAGGACTAGTGAGGGAGCAGAGGATGCCTTGAAAACCAAGCTCTGGCTGTGAGAGCGAGACCTTTAGGAGGAAGGACATGGAAGGAGCCCTGTGTGAGCTGAAGTCACGAGGTGGGACAAGTGCCCAGAGACTTCCTCGTGAAAGGATGAGTTGAAGAAAAATGTTCTTTTCTAAATGTTTTGAAAGTAATAAAACCCATAAAACTATGTACAAGGGAAGTGAGGTAAAGGGGAAACATGGAAAAATTGCCTCTAATTCCACTACTTTAATACAGCTCTTAGATTTTTTGTGTGTTTCTTCCAGTACCTTTTTTGAAAAGGGAAATAGCTCACAGACAATCCATAAAACATAAATGTGCAGCTTAAATTATTATAAGGCATCCATGTAACCACCACTCAGGTCAGTCAGCACAGCACTGCCAGGTCCCTAAGAGCTCTTCGGGTGCTCGTCCCAGTCACCCCCACCACCACCACCTCGCCCCCTGCAAAGGTAATCTTTAATGGTAGTAACTTCCTTGGTTTTCTTTATAGCTTTGTCAACTGTTGGTGTCTCTAGTCACTAGTTTAGGTTTGTATGTTTATGAACTTTATATAGAGGGGACCATAATGTATATATTATGTTGTAATTTGCTTCTCTAAAAGTTAATATTAATATTCATGCATTTTGCATACTCATCTAGTAGTTTGTATCCATTGGGTTACTGATGGCTTCTTGGATTGTTTGCAGTTTAGGGCTATTGCAAGCAATGTTGCTCTTGTCCTTGGGTCCTGGTACCTCCTGGCACAGGGTTCCTGTGGTTTATATCTAGGACTGGAATTGCTGAGTCAGAGGATAATGTATCTCTTTCACACATTAGATGATGCCAGAATGTTTTCCAAAGTGCTTTTACTGACTTACACTCCCACAGACACAGTAAGCGGGTTCCTCTTGCTGCTCCCCATGTTTACCAAATGCCCTGTACTGCCAGGCATCATGCTCTTCACCCATCAGGAGAGTGTGCAGTGGTAGCTTATTCTGGTTTAAACGTGCATTTCTCCAGTTACTAATGAGGTTGAGCACCTTTTCATATGTTTATTGAGTATTTAGATACCCTCATTTATGAAGTGCTTCTTGAAGGTTTTTGCTCATTTATCTATTCTCTGTCTTTTTCTTGTTCTGTAGGAGTTGTGTATTTTGGATACAAATCATTGTAATTATATTTACTACAAATACCTCCTCTTACCTGTGGCTGGCTTTTCCCCTTAAAACCTCTTTTAATGAACAGAGACTCTTAATTCTAGTTTAGTCAGTTTTGTCAGTCTTTTCCTTTATGATTAGTATTCTTTTTTTCTGGCTGTGCCGTGCCGTGCAGGATGCGGTATCTTGGTTCCCTGATCAGGGATCAGACCCTTGCCCACTGCAGTGGACGTGCAGAGTCTTAACCACTGGACCACCAGGGAAATCCCAATATATATATATATTTTTGATGTGTTTAAGAAA